ATATAAAAATAAAATTATATTAATAATATGATATAATAAACATTAATTTAAGAAATGATAACGATATCATAAAATATTAATTACATTAATTTTAAAATATTAAAAAAATAATAACACATTAATAAAATTTTAATTAAAAATTTTCTATTTTTTTTAGAAATTTACTACAGTTATGTTAAAAAAATTTATGGTATAAGTTTTATTTATTTACATTTATATGAGCATATTTTGATACATTATTCTTTTACACATAAGAGTATTTTGATATTAATGTAGTACATAATCGTATTATTTTGTAAACTAAATAATAAAAATATATTTAATATATTATCGTCAAAATATACATATAAAAAAATTAAATTCTAGTATAAGAGATGACTGAATCATTACTTAATTCATGTTTGAATTGACATATAAAATGACTAGGGATGGCAACGGGGCGAGTCGGGTACAAGTTTCATGATGCTCGTCTTTATCCCTGTAACTCAAACCCATCTCCCGTAACCATACCTGTTGAGTATATAATTTTTGTCCTCATCCTCGTCCCTGTCGGGTATTGCGTATACCCGTACCCGTAAAAAAATATTATTTTTTTATAAAAAAAATATACAATATTTTAAAACTATTTTTTCATTATATTATAATTATAATTAGATTATTTCTCTATCTTATATTTTAATTGAGAGATTTTTTAATAATTAAACAACTATAAATATTTCACATTATAATAAATAATTATATATAATAAAATATTAAATTTTTTTAACTTAATTAAATCGGGGATGGGTACGTGTATGGGTACGCATGCGGGTATGTATATATCCGTACCCGTACCCGGTTTAATATAGCGGGTTTTACCCGTACTCGTACCTGGTCAAATCAAATATTTTCTGTCAAAGTCGGGACGGGTTCGAATATTATCAACGAGTACGAATTTATTTGCAATCCCTAAAAATGACACAAACAACACGATTATCAAATACACTCTTGAACGATATTTTTATTATCAATATATGATGATATTGAATTATATAATTGTTTTTAGTCTTTATATTTTAAGTGAATCATTATATCTTTTAATTATTAAAAAAATTTCTTATATTATTTTTAAATAATTATTAAAAAAATTAATATTTTATTTATATATAATTATTAAAAGTATAAAATGTTTCAATTTTTAATAAATTAAAAAAAAAGGGACCTTTCAAGAAGGAATAAAAAATAGTTTAAAAAGTTGGGGATGGAAACCCCAATAAAAAGAAGAAAAGGAGACCCCTAATGAATGAACCACTCTGAGCCATGTCCGAAGTAGACAACGATCTGGACGAGCACCTCCAGAATCTGATAGACATTTTAGATTATAATCTTGACTAATGACTTTGCTTTAATCCACTTTGTAAAGTAATTAAATAGTACCAAAAGGAGCTTTCATTGGCCTTTAGTAGGTGGGAAGTCCTAATAAGGTCCATACCCCACAATGCATACTACTATGAAGAGATTAGACTGTGTAGTTCTTCTAATATTGAGAGTATTAGGTTATCAAACTTGACTTTGCAAACCCTTTTTACATATTCCAAAGCATCAGATTGCAATGTGAGCTAATATTATTCCGCTCTTAGAACTTTAGTGGACATAGAGTGCATGCTACAAACTCCGTTGGGAATGTGTATTTGACTTGCATTTTAGTAAGGCATTTTAGTAAAGATAGTGAGAATACTCTGAAATACAAATCTCCTCCAATCAAGCAATACTTGGTGGCTTGAACAATTAGCTTTTTGGCTAGCACTAGTGCAAATAAATTTTTTGAATAAAATTAAAATTATATTAATTATATAATAACACATTAATATAAAACAAATTTATCAATACATAAAATATAAATTTAAAATTATTAATAATTAATTTATAAAATAATAAATCACTCTGTAAATAAAATAAAGGAAATAATTTCTTCCTTAAAAAATTTTCTTCTAAAATTTTCCAAAAAAAAACTCCTATAACTCTTGGAGGTCTCTGCCTGAGTTGTGCCGAGCACGATTTTGGCACGCCGGGTTCGGGAGACTCCTGGAAGTCTCTGCCTCCCAACATGCCAGGTGTAATGATAATACGCCGGGCGTGTAAGAGTTTTAAAGCTCTCAGGTTGGGTTCAGGCCAAGTGCAAGGTTACTTGCTCCGGGCATGGAGGTGTTTTATTCTATGACTCAGAAAATGTTGAATTTTGTGATATGATGAGAAGATGTAGCTATGTGGATGAAGGTTGTATGTTGCACTATGTGTTGAAAGATGTTATTTTATAATGATTGAGTTGTAGATTATGAGTTGAGCCGTTAAGCTGCTGGGTTGATCATGTTGTTTAAGTTGTTGAACTGAGCTGTGCTGTTGAGTTGTAAGCTGATTGAGCTGTGATGATGAGCTATTGATTATTAGGACTAGGGAAGATGTTTTCGAAGTTGCTCATCCCATTGTGTGGATTGAGATAGCTGTGGTGCTCAGAGAGCCTAATTTTTTGAAAACCCTCCTTGGGAAGTTGTCCCTTGGAGTGGACGTTGTGCTGTTCTCCTCTAGAACTTAGTTGGTCCCGTGTGTGGGTAAGGTCGAGGCACACATGTACAAAGCGACCACGATATAGGGGCCAGGTCGAGCTATACCGATTACAAGCGGCCAATTTGAGTAAAATACGAAGTCGGGAACTTAGTTCCTAACCGAGTATCGGAGGGTTGTAGTATTTGGAGGATAGTTGGTAAGCTAATCCCATAGATGGCTTAGTTGAGCTAGCTAATGTCGTGGTAGGCTTAAACCCAGCTGTTCTATCCTGACATAGTACTATACTTCCTTGTTTAAGTGGCAAAGTCTGAGAAATCGTTATCGTGCTATGGATTGACATCCAAATTTTTTATTTACCTAGCAAGCCCAAAAAGGTTCTTTGTTGTCAGTTTGGTAGGACCTAGCCACTTAAACTGCTCATCCATGTTGTAGGAGGTCTCCGAGTTGAAATGCGTGACGACGCATAAGTTGTTGATGTGTTTAATTGATGTTGATATGAGTTGTATCTGTGCTGTTGTGTTGTGAAGTTGTGATTGAGTTGTGTGTTGTTATATGTTGTATGTTGAACCTGTTGAGAATAATGATGGTGCTAATAAGTTGAAGGCTGTTTATATATATCTATATGTTGATTATTTTCACTAGCTTACCCTTGCATGTTTCCATGTAGTTTGGACTGCGATGATCATACTGTGTATGAGAGCAGAGCAGGGATAGGCTGGAGAGTAGTAGCAGGGTTGTAGGTGGTAGCAGGAGCTGATTTTTGTGTAGGCTACTCGGTGTAGCATTTTGTTAGTATTATATACTTTGACTTGTTGAGCCCCAGACCGGATATGTGTATATATATACTCCTTTATATGCATATTCTACTTCTATGTGGTGTTGTTATGTAGTGTGACGGTCAGGTGGGTCGTTACACCTTTTAAATTAATTTATATATACATAATTTTCTAATAACCTTGATTTTGTTTGAAGGTGAAAATTTACATGGTGTTTCAACAACTATGATTTTGTTAGGAGATGATTTTTTTATAGTATATAATAGCATGATCAACAACT